AACATTACTAATATTCATACATTTAATAAGCTTCCAAAATATAGAGCCATTCCTTTCATTACTTGCTGACTTGACAACACTGATTCAACTCTACGGTTTACACCACTCTTAGTGATCCAAGGATTTGAAGGAAGCTGCTATACTGATATTAAAGAACCTAGTCCACAGCACCATTAGTCTAGGAGGCCAGATCTCAGGATGGTCCACCAAGGCTCCAAGTACCATCTTCAACTCTCGGATTAGGCCTTTAGCTTTGAGTCTTTAAGCATAAGGGCTCATTAAATCATGAAGTCTTATACTATCTCTACATCTCTAACAAGTGACAACTGACACATGCGATTAAATATCCTGCTTTTTTCCTCTTTCCATATACCAGAAAACCAATAGATTGCTAAGAAAAACATAAACATATACCCCACTCAATGATCAAGGAATTCCGACTCAAAGAGCATTCTTACTCCAGCATTACCAAAGAAACCTCCTCTTTCCATAATTCATACGTTCTACTGTTGGATTCATAGACAACAAAGAAGTGGCACCACGTGACCTGAATATAAAGTCCTTTGACTAAATATATTGACGATGACAACCAAGTACACTTCACTTACAAAGCAACAGGCATCCAAAGAACTGCTTTTCAATCTTTCTTAGGAAGTTCCTAGAAGAGTATCCTAATATTAAAGTCAATATCAACATCTCCCAGAACAAGTGCAAAAAACGAAAATCAACATGTCCTAGAATAACTAAGTGCAATAGCTTGAAATATGCAACACATAACCAATCGACCCAAATCAATGTTTAAAAACAAGGACCCAGGCTCAGAACTGAACAGGTCCCAAGAAGTGACTGGCACAACAACTTGGCAAGTCCCATCTTTTACAAGCAAAGCATTTTTTTAATCATATTTGCTGGATATTTTAAGGACTCATACAAACTCAAATCATCCAAGTTTGGGCCAACTGGAACTGGCAGGATGCTGGTTCCAAGTACGTCTCTCCGACTTTTTAAACACTTATCAAAATTGTAAGCCCTTAAAACAAGAGAGCAAAAATGTTTTCTCCGGATTCATGAGAAATTTTGACAAAGTTTTACGTTAGCTGCCTACATAACACAACTCACCCCTTTTACCCGGTCTTGGGACGGGAAAACATAAAGTTTAAGGTCCTCACCCTTCTTAGACCAAAACAAACAAAAAAAATATTTTCTCCATTAACTTATTTTAGTAGCAACATCAAGGTGAAAAAAGAGATTAATCGAACTTAGAGCAAAGAACCACCCAAACATTTAAATCATTTATGCACTCCTATCTCCACTTTCGCTCCAATATAAGATACAAGCCTCGGCACGGTAACAAAACTCTTTTCTGGATTGATCCATGGCTGGATGACCTACCTTTAACCTTTAAAGGATCAACACCATTGCCTGTTTTTTGTTGGCCCGTGATCCCAATGACACTGTGGAATCACAATTGCAGCTGGTGGGTAATCGGAGGGTGTGGAGTCCTACTTTCAGACGACCCTTGTTTGATTCTTAATATTCAGGCCTTTTAAACCCTCTCCGCCACCCTTAACTCTTCTTTCCTCCCTCTCCAGGGTTAAGATAGACTCATTTGGACCCCTAATCTCACTGGGATCTTCTCGGTAGCTTCTTTTTTACTCTTCTTTAGCCCACCCCCAAAGCTCCAATCTTCCAATCTCAGTTCTGTGGTCTGTGGTCTAAAGCTTGGATCCCTCTGGTTCCACCAAGGTTCAATTTTTCAGTTGGATTGTGGCCTCAGAGAGAGCTCTCACAGTGGACCAGCTTCAAAGGAGGGGGCTCCAAATCCACAATAGATGTATCATGTGTGTTGAAGAAGAGGAAAGCAATGCCCACCTCTTCATCCATTACAAGTTCGCCTCCTCCCTTTGGCCTGCACGCCTTCAGCTGTTTCATTGGCAGTGGGTTACCCCACCAAATGTCCCCCATCCCTTGCGCTCTTTTTTCTCTCTCCCTGACCTAAAGCCAGTAGACTGCTGTGGTGTGCATCAGTCGCAGCCACCTTTTGGGTCATCTGGGATGAGAGAAATGCCAGAATCTTTCGAAGTCAGAGATCTTCCGCAGAAGTGTTAAAAGAAAAAATTATGTCCTCAGTCATTTTCTGGGCCGCTCATAACAAGGTATTCATAAATTTCTCTCACTCTGATTTTCTCCATAGCTGGGAATCCATTCTGCACCATAATCCCCAAAGGGCACCTCGATCCTCTTTGTGGAGACCATCCAAAGAGGGCCACATCAAATTAAATTTTAACTGGTGCTCACTTGGCAACCCTCGTCCAGCTGGCATAGGTGGACTGTTCCATGACAAAGATAGCAACATTCTATTAGAGTTCTCCGTCCCAATTGGGATCTCAAATTCTTTAGTCACGGAAGCCTCAGCTCTAAGGGAAGGACTCAGAAATTTCGACCTGGCATGGAGCCTTTCTCTTATCATTGAAGGCGATTCCTCCAGTGTGATTTCCTGGGCCTCCGGCTCCACGCCTTGGCCTTGGAGGCTCGACAATATTTTCGAGGAAATTACCCATTTCTGTAGGATCCCTCACGTCAGTTGGAGACATACTTGGAGAGAAGAAAAAGACGATGCTGACTCCCTAGCCAAAGCAGCTGCATCTATCTCCCAAGCCAGTTCTCCTACTTTGTAAGGACCTGATTTCCAGGCCTGATCTACCCCTCTCAGTTTTGGGCCTGCTTTTTTTGGGTTTTCACATCAGAAATGTATAGTTTTTTATTACAGATATGCTTTCTGTACAGGGCACCCATCTGTGGGTGGCCAATTTTTGGGTGAAACTCATATGTGGTTTTCAGCCTGTCTCCAAGCCTTTCTTTTGTATTTAATTTCTTCAGATCAATAGAGTTGACATGTTCAAAAAAAAAAAAACATTTATATCATTCAAAAAGGATAAATATGAAGAACTTGAAAATATGTATTGATCAAGTTGTAGGGAGGAACCATTGAAGGCAATTGACGAATTCAGCTCCGTAAAAAATAAATAAAACAAAATTCGACTTCTAAGACAGGAGAATGAAGCAACACTCCCAAGAACATCCATATCCCCCCAAAAGATATACAATGTGAAGACCTCAAAACTCTACGTTCAGCTCAATTTTGAAAGCCTACCAAGTTATGCATGGCAATGCACATGAGTTGAAATCTCATAGAAGTGACGTGATAGACTTTATGCATGGGGATGCACAAGATTTGAGATCAAAGAGCCAATATAAACATGTTAGGATTTCAGAGATACATATGCTGTTATAGGCGCAAAATTGAAAATTTTCATATCAGAAGTTTCAAACCAGAGACATTATCAGCTTTTTCCACATCAATGCGACCCCATCCAATCATGAAATTTGGCATTCAAGTAATAAAGGATCAAATTTCACATATTTCCACACCAGGAAAATGAACACTAACTAAGGTTTGAATCACAAACTAATACGAATATCAGTCAAATAATTCTCTAATGCAATATATAGCTAAGAAACTCATTAACTCAAAAGAGTCCCAACCTAAGATACATTAATAATTTTAGCAGTCGAAGAGATGCAAATATTAAAATTTAAGATTTACAAAATCTTTGATAACTTCAATCATTACGAATTTCAAATTTCATTAAGTTCCTTGCTCTTCTCCCCTACCATACACATCCCAGTTTGTCTACTCACTTTAGAGCAACTTGACATAAGTGAGCTACTTAATGATATGGTACAATAAAAAAAAAAAAAGGTTCTTCAGGTGCATGGACCTCTGTTCTACACATCTATTTCATCTATGAAGTCAGCCTTCCCGTACATCTTATTGATTCTAGAACTATTATTAGAATATGCCTCATTGCTAATTTTCCTGTTCATATGTTGCTTCCCTTTTTAATTTTTAGATTGTAGATGTCCCTCGCTCTATTTCCTTAAGGAGACAAAGTCCACTGACTATAGAAATCCTCCCACAAGTTAAGAGTATCTCAATGCTTCACAATGCACTTTTCAGAGCACTTTTCAGAACAACCTCAGAAAGTAGAAAGATAAAGTGAAGGACAACCGGTTTCTTAGCAACCAGGATCCCTCATACAAAGCATCCCATATAACTACATGCTTCTTCTTTTTTTTGGAATAATCATATAAACCCCTTGTTGTTTTTAAGACTTACAAAGGTTAAACGAAGTTCATGTTGATGATCATAGGCATTAGCTATTGCAATCACTAGAAAGACTTACGCATGTCTTATAAAATCAGAGGCAGATCAAAGATGTAGATTAATACTTAAATTGAGGTCTTTGTAATAACGGAAATTACACGACTTATTGGAAAGACCCAGCAAAATAAATAAAAGGGAACTCGAACCCAAAAAAGAAAAAAAAATTGTGCACCCATATGAAGTAAGGAAAATTTACCAATAAGAAAACAACCATTTAGAAGTTCTCTGAATTTGGCATGAGAACTCACTTCCTGGAAGAAATAAAAAATGCAAACTGGAACTCCCCCCTCCCCCCAACCCAAAAATAAATAAATAAATAAAGAAAGAAAATGACTAACAGATTTTCATGATCATTGGCATTAGCTATTGCAAACACTAGAAAGACTTATGCATCTCTTACAAAATCAGAGGCAGATCAAAGGCATAGATTAATACTTAAATTGAGGTCTTTGTAATAACTAAAATTACACTACTTAATGGAAAGACCCAGCAAAATAAATAAATGGGAACTCGAACCCAAAAAAGAAAAAAAAATTGTGCACCCATATGAAATAAGGAAAATTTACCAATAAGAAAACAACCATTTAGAAGTTCTCTGAATTTGGCATGAGAACTCACTTCCTGGAAGAAATAAAAAATGCAAACTGGAACTCCTCCCTCCCCCCCACCCAAAAAAAAAAAGAAAGGAAGAAAATGACTAACACATTAAAATTTAATTTTCCAATATAACATAAGCATTATAAGTTCTATAAATTTGGCAAGAAGTTACTACCTGGAAGTGTGAGCTGTTCAGGCAACGAGCAATCTGTCGGAACAAGGGAACCATACATCTCTCAAACTCAGCAGCCTGTGTGGCCTCCAAGACCTCCTCCAACTCTCCTAAGAACATAACCTCCTTTGAGCTATTTGTGATAGGCCAATACTTCAACAAACCCCTTATCACAGTGTCAGCAAGCTTGCAATCTTTCTCCACAAATTGAGTGATGCAATAAGATAATTGCTGGTGATACATGGCCACACACTTTGGCTTGTGAAGAGGAATTAGAGCTCTAACTAGGAACAGTTTGTGCTCTTCTTTCAAAGGCAAAGCAAACCCATTAATTATACTCCCAAGAATCTCAAGAAGTTCAGCAACCCCATTATGCTTTTCGGTCTCAAAAATAAAACGGTAAAAGATATTGTTGATGGCTTTCCTAATGAATGGGCGGTGCACCATAAATTTCCCATATATTCGGTGGAGTATAGTTTTCAAGTATTCTCTCTCTCTAGGATCCTCTGAGTCAAATAGATCAAGAAGTCTAAGAACAAAAGAATGGTCTATATATCTCTTTGCCAACTTCGCATCGGTCTCTGTTGACACAACAAATCTAAGGAGGAGTTCATAAACGATTTGTAGGTGCGGCCAGGCAGGGTCCATAACTGGCTCCTCTTCTTCCTGATCAAAATTTTCTATAACTTTGGTCTCGTGAGAAGAAGAAGGCAGTGTCCTAAATAAATTCACGGCTACCATTTTCGTGATCTCCTGCATTATGGTCTCAGTGAACTTCCCATTAGCCGAGGTTATGTAATCCACAAGCTCCAACAGTGTTTGTCTTTTAACATCCTTCTCTTTCTGGTTCTTTGAGGGGTCGGTGAAGTCGAAAGCTACACAGCACATGTTCAATTTTCTGATGAAAAGGTTTTGTTTTTCGGCGCTCGGAACATCTTTAAAACTTGGTAACGCTTCATAAGCTGAAGAAGCTGAATTCCCATTGGCTCGATCGATAAGACCTAATTTTTTCACCTGATTGGATCCAGGAACCAAATAAGACTCTGAATCATTCCCACTACGAGTTGCAGGTGCAGAATTCTCACCTCTCGAAGGGTGATAATTATTTGCAACTCGTGCATTGGGGATAGAATTCCCAACTCCTTCTCGACTATCACTTGATTTTGACGGCCTACGAGGGAGCTTTCCAAGTATCTGCTTAATCATAGCTACTGAATTTCTAAACCTCAGATTGTTATGATTCAACGACTATAACTCAGTACCCATGATCTTGTGAGGAACCCAAATGCCAATTTCACATTCAACGATGTAAAATAGTACTTAGATACCAGACAAAAAGAATCAACACAGTCCCTATCAAATTACATATGCCAATTATGCATCAGATTTAGAGAAGGAAAGCGAGAGAGATAGAGAATGGGATTTGGAAGCGAAGAATCAATCAGAGCTCTAACAACGCAGAACGCAAATTGGCGATCAGCATCCCATCTAAAACAAGGTGGAAAAAAAAAACCGGTTATCAAATCCACCTTTTATAGCCTCCCTCTTTCATGTTCCAAACTTATAAAGTTACCATCTTCCATTACCCAATTCCAACAATAGGTTTACAAAAAAAATTGGCGTATTGGCAGTGTTGACCCAGCTGAAATCAAGACTAGCAAAAACTAGAGATTTGGGTCTGACCCCAAGAAACCATTCTCCCCAAAAATCCAATATTTTTAATCTATCTAACAAACAAAACAAAACAAATACAAAGGTCTGAACCCAAAAACTCAGATAACCTTCTTTCCAAATCCTTCAACCTCCCTCTGGCCCTATAAACACTATGAGACACAAAGATCATATGACAAAGCAATTTCTCACTCTAAAAACAATACACAAAGGTAAGAAACATTCAACAGCATGGATGGGAAACCATGAAAAAGATCAAATCAGAAGAAACGGAATAATGGGTACTCACCCTTTGAATAAGAAAGAGATAGAGAGAGAAACATAAAGCAAGACCCTTAGTGAGAGAGGAGACCACAAAAGCTTCATCGCAGCGATCCTAGTGAGAGAGGAAACCATTTTTTTTCTGGACCTCGGGTTATTATCAACAGGTAAGTTGACCATGGTACCCCTGAAATTCTAAATGAATACCTAAAATGCCCTTCAAGCATGGTTAATTTACTACAGTAAATGACGAAAATGCCTTGTGTGAAGCTACAGAACCTCTGGATTTTCAAGCACAAGACAATAAGGCGCAGGGGATGGTTGAATTTCCTTAAATTGCATAAAATAGCCCCAACTTTATTGAAATTTGCAGCTGAGTCCTAGCCCTATGTTGAGTGTTGACCTTCGTGCCACATTTTTGTCATTTTTCGAATATTTTTTATTTAATAATGAAAGGTTTAAATTCAAAAGAAAAAGAAATGGGGATGGAAATAAGTTTTTTGTGATTATTATTTTGCCTAGGCCATTGATGTAGATAACTCGGATGAGTGAATAATTTTGGTTGCCTTTTATAAAGGGAAAGTATGCCATTTCCCATTTTGCCAAAATAAAATTTCATTTTGGTGGGTATAACATTTACTATGAACAGTGGAATTCAACCTTTGTAGGTTTGCCAATGATCTCTACGAGTTGTAAGAAATCATCCACCTTATTTCAGAATTGCATAAGTTGTTTCAAAATCAATACCAAAAGAGTCGCCTAATATTTGAGCTATTTTCGATTCTAAAGTCGTCATTGCTATTTTCATATAAAATCAGCCGATTGGAGGCCTTAGACTTTGCCGCATCAAAGATGCAATAATCGATTCTCTCAAGAAGCCACAATTCCCACGAACAAGTATATTAATGACGAGAAAGACATCACTAATACTTGCTATTCTAACTCAAGCCTGACTGAAGAAGAGTTACATTCCATCACTGCTCAGGCTTGGCCTGGGAGGCTGGGCTAGGCTCGAGACATTGGTGAGTCTACGGCCAAGCAGCACTTTTGAGTAATACTTTCCTGTGCCCCCCGCCCCCCTTATGTTTCCGTGCGTTAGCCTCCCTCTCCCTCTTTTGTAAGAGATATTTTTTTCATATTAAAATTCAATATTATTTTTTTCCTATTTTTTTTAATGTTAACTATTAATATCATTAGATAAATAAGCAAGACTCATACAAAAAAAAAAAAAAATAGTAGTAAACAAAGAGATGAAGAAACATAAGAATACAAGTAGTACTCTCTATTTCTGTATATGATTTGCCTTAACTTCTAAACACAATATAAACCTCAACCTCAAAAGATCATGTACCACCGACTGTCTAAGATTATAACTAAACCATACAAAACATTTCCAAATACATCCACTACACATTATTTGTTGCCCAAGCCAAACTTCTCAAATAATCACTCCATAAACCATTCCCTTTTTGCGATCAACTCCCGAGCAAGGGAACCTACAATGAAATGACACCCAAATGAACAAAAAAAAGAAAAGCATGGAGACATACAGGAGGTTGACAACTGATGCAAATAAAAATTGTAGTTTATTTATTTTTAATTTTTAATTAAGGATTGGAAGAGATAAGTTAAGAGCCTGCGTGATTTGTTTTGGGAATGTTTATCTTTTTAGTTTAGAAAATGATATATAGATAAAGTAAATATCTTTTTGTTTAGAAAATAATAAGTAGTAGTTATCGTTTACTCTTAAAAAGGCTAATGTGGAAGTTAGAAAGAGAGAAAATAAGAAAAAGTATGTAGAAGAGAAAGAGATAGAGAATTATCTTGGATGGGTTTTTTTCTTCAAAATTCTATTTAAAAGGGGATGGCTCTTTATTGTAAATCAAAGATCGAAATTGATTAAAATTTGGTCTTGTGGAAAGATCATTTTTGGGATGGATTCTTTCTCAGACCCTGAAAGAGGGTGTAATATCTCACACTTGTTTTTTTGCTTTTTTTTTTTTAATTTTTCTCCCTACATCTTGTGAGAAGGTATAATCTCTCACCCTTTGTTTAATTTTAATTATAATTATTATTTTTCTCCCTACATCAGTTGGTATCAAAGAAGACATAGTAGAGCATATTAGCAAAGTAGTAGAATAATGTCTACAAAATCTATTTTATAGATTGCAAGTGGAACAAGAAAAATAAGAATATGAAGAAGTAGATCTCAATACAAAAGACGAGGCCGATAACTCCAATGTGCAAGAAATTTTGAAAATCAATTATGAAAAAGAATATATGTGTAATGCAATATTTGAAATCCAACTAAGTGAATCTGAAGGAGAAATAAAAATTGAGCCCGATATCATTATGTTATACTTCAAGATAAGCACGAAGCATTCGATGAATCGACTTGATGAAGAAATTAAAGAAAAAGTGTCGAGGCACATGGTGGAAGTACTACACCAACTTTCGAGAAGGACTTTAAAATATTTAAGTTCTATAAGCTTGAGGCTTCGAGGCTTCTCCCAATCTGAGGAGAATGATGCACATAAAAATTGAAGATTTTTTTTTATAAAAAATTAAGGATAGGAAGAGATAAATTGAAAGGGACTGAGATGGGTGCGTGATTTTTTCTCCTTACATCAACAACACATGACCAGCAACCAAAAGCTAGGGTCTACCTACGATCTAAAAGATTAGTCAAAAGAGGAGTGAAAAGAAAGACGAGAAGGGAGGGATAGTGAAGTGAAAGTGCAATAGTGAAATAATAAGGAATAAGGAAAGACGAGATGGTGGAAGCTAAACTATGACAATTCCCTAAAGTAATAGTATTTGACACATAAAGATTTTCAAGTACTTAAAAGGACAATATGAAAAAACCACGATAGCGCTCACAACTCCCACTGACGGGCCGGGCAGGGCCGGGCCGGGCCAGGCAGGCCCCCCATATCAGCGTTAAACCAAGTAACCCGATATAAGGGTCGTTGAAGCCTTACAAACAAAACCCAGAGACTTGGCTTGAGAAAATACTAAACCCCAAACATTGAAGAGAGTCCCATTTTAAGCATTAACCTATTTGGGGCAAAAGATAATTGAGAGAAGGGGAAAATCACCCAAAGAGGCTGATGGAGATGGATGAGAAAGGGGATGGGAGATAATCAGTGTTTTTTTTTTTTTTTTTGCTACTATAAAGAAAGTTCAATGTTGTAGCCCTATCAAAAGAAGTAAGGAAAAGTATATAACGAGACTATTTACTTTTGGTATAAAGTGGTTACAATTAATCTTTATCGATGGATGTGAAATTGGGTGGCTGCATTTATTCCATTGATCAAGCTCAAACTTCAAAAGAATTTTTCTCCAATTTTGTGACACACCCAAGCCATCAAATTTCACGTAGGATGGTTGTAAGTAATTGTAATTACATTATATTAAAAGTAAATGGTGTCATTGTATATAATCTCAAAAAGTAAAGCCGCACATCTTAACTCCTCGAAAATTGCAATTCAAATAAAAAAACCTTTATTGAACATTATAGTTGTGAAAAAAAAATGATTTCAAGCTTTAAAAATAGTGTATATTATAACAAATTATATAGATTGTCCATTTTACCATAAGAACAAGTATCTATAGATCCATAAGATCTATACTATTTTTTAAGTTTTAATTTCATTACCGAAAGTGCTTTCCAGACGAAGATTTGAGTTGAGGCTCTATTTTGTTTTCATAAAAACCTCATCCAAACTATAACTAGAAAAAGGGCAAGCTTTCTATGCTTCCCCTTATCCAACTCTTCATGTTGAATGGAGGGCTAAGATTGCCCCAATCACAATGTCACGTCTCTACACTATTTTATTTTTAATTTTTTTCTATAAACTATCTTGACACAAAATTTTGGACGTCCAATCCTCTATTAAACTCATACTATCGAAAAATATAAAAAAAATATTTCCAATAAAATAAAATGATCAAGATACCCTTAAAATTTCAAGAGGTATTTTGGTCATTATATTTTATCGAAAAATTATTTTTAATTTTTTTATAGGTGCGCTCCAATGAGAAGATGACACGTAGCAAATTTTATATTCATACAATTTGTATAAAAAAAAAACTAAAAATAAAATACTTTAATACGTCAAGTCTAAGATCAAGTGGTGAGCGGCTCTCTTGATCAAAATTGGACAGCTAGATGGTAAAGGAAGCATAGATCTTCTATACTGTAGAGGAAGTATAGAAACCTTTCTCAACGGAAAATGGATAGCTAAAAAAAAACAAAAAAAGAGAAAGAAAAATAGCATAAATAGAGATGGGGAAGGGGAAGGGAGAGGGCAATACTGGTTAGAGAGAGAGAGGGGATATTGGAAAGACAGAAAGATGAGGGAGAACATGGCAGTGGGTAGAGAGAGAGAAAAGGGGTCTAGTAGAGAGAAGATTTTAGAAGAAAAAGGAGGAAAGGAAAGAGGAGACCCCACAAAGAGAAAGGCAAAACAGGTCGAGACACTCTTAAAATCCAATACCATATCTCTCTCTTAATTCTTATTCATGTTCTCTTAATTCTATCTCTCTCTTAATTATTATTTCTTATTCATGTTCTCTTATGCATGTTTTGAAATACAAAAGGCGCCCAATTCTCACCAAAACCCTCTCTCACTAAAACAAGAAGTTATTTCTTTCTCTAGAAAATATATGTTTCTTTATTTGGTAGTAATTGAGGGTTAGAATCAATCATGTTTGAAACCAAGTATTGTAGTCTTCAACAGGAAAATAAAGGCCAAACCAAATTCTTTTTAAAAAATTGCATCTCTTTCTAATGGAGATAAAAGAAGCATCTTTGACATTTTAAAATAGACCAGATATTGAAGGCTTCCTAAGTAAGAACATGTGGTTTCAATCTATTATTAACAATTTAACACAAAAGAATTTGACACCAAATTCTCGTTTTAAAATTAAAATAACCATGTCTGCTCCAGTATTCCCCTCTCTCTCTCTCTACCAGTCTAGTTCTCTCTCTTTATCAGTGATTAAGAAAACATCGGGTTGGCACGGAATCGCTTAGTTCGACAGGCGAAATCGATCACCTCATTCTGGTTTTACGTATATAAAAAAAAACGATCGAGTCTAGAAGGAAATCGACAATTTTGTACAATAAAACTGTG